CCTAGGCCTAAATCCTCAATTTTTCTACAATTTTCAAGCTCAAATCCATACATAATTGATATACTTAACTCAAAATAGGTGGGGATAACTTACCTTCATATTGATGATGAAAATACCCTCTTGAAGCTCCCCAAAAATCGTCCATACTTTGAAGAAATGAAGAAAAGTGAGCTAAATCCGTGTATAAAAGAATCTGTCTGTGCTTCGTCGAGTTGTACCTTGAACTTGTGCTATACAAGTTGTACATCCTATTAAAATTGTTCCTTGTCGGACACCTTCTGTTTAAGCACCCATAACGTCTTATATAAATATCCAAATGACAAACGGTTTGAAGATTTAGAAACTAGACTCAAAGATATTTAATTTGATAGGTTGTACACCATATAACTCTTTATATATCCCGAGATATGAGCTTCTAAAGTGCATCGTAAATTCTGCTGAAATTGCTCCAGCAGCCCTTTTCGATCCATCGTAACTTTCAGAGATGATATCCAAATCGCGAATGGTTTAACTTTCCGAAAACTAGAATATATGGGCTACAACTATCGTGTTTTGCACTTTTTCTGATTTCTTATAGATTACAAGATATGAGCTTCCAAACTGGACTACTCGCACCTAAAATTTTCTGGGCACAACAGAATTTTCTGCAATTTTTCCTAAGTCCGAAATCACTCCGAGACACCTCCGAAACACTCCCGAGCCCTCGGGGCTCCAAACCAAATATTCTATTGCTTATTTTTCTTCTTTTATTTTTCTTTAAATAAAACTAAAATTCTAAAAATGTTATAAACTAAATTAACTTATCAAAAATACTAATTAATTCCTAGCAACAATTATCATACACAATTAAATACCAATTAAAACAATATTGCACAATTTGACATTGAATGCTAAAAATGCAAACGATGCATATTTTTGTAATTTTCATTCTTGTAAAACAAACTTAATTACTTCTAATTGTAGAATTAAATCCTAAATGCAAATGCGACATATTTTTGTATTTTTTATTAATTTAACAAATAAACATGCATGGACAAAATACAAATAATTATCAAAAATGCCATGAAAATTCTCAAAATTGCACACAAAGGAAAATTGTTTTATTTTGATTTTTTTGGGAGTATTTCTCTCATAGGGCAAAAATCACGTGCTTACAACCCTAAGTTGGAAAGTGCATCGGCCTCACTGTTTTGTTCTTGAGGAACATGATCTAGAGTCATTTCCTTGAAGCAATGCAAGGTTTCTTGAAGCATCGTCTTTAACATCGAATACTGGGGGGCATCACCCTCAGAGATTATATTTTCGAGGAAAATACTTCACGCCAAAGAGGGACTCGATAGGAAAACTTTGTAATGGGCCAAACGGTCAGATAAACCGTGTCCATACAGAATAATTGAGCCCGACGACAAAACATGTACACATGTATCAATTATTCAAAGAAGCATTCTTTCTATATCAAAACATTTTGTGTCTCAAAGAAGTCTACTGTTATACGAGCTTCATACTTGTAATTCTGCGAGAAATGGCTCAAGGGACAAAATGCAAAAAATATACCCCGAATACCCGGGGACTATCATCGACAGTCAACACATTCGAGTCATCTAAACTTGAATTCATAAGACCTCAAAAAGACATCCCCTCGACATAAAGGCCAAGGCTATTATACTCGAGGACTAACCTTTCGAACAAGTTTGAAAGATTATCGGGAAACAAGTCTAAGAGACATACCCGAAGGCTACGGTCATATTAAAGGCTACGAGCATATTAAAGACTATGGTTATATAAAAAAGGCTACGGTTGAAATAATGCAGCTCGGAGACGTCCGACTTCTTCCATAAGTTAAAGTCCTTCTAATACTTCGAAAAAACCGGTTAAATCAGGCTACCCTCGGCAGAAGCAAATAAAAAAGGGCTTCGATAAAATCAGCCCTCGAATAATTTAAAGGCTTCGATAACATCAACCTTCGAAAAATCCTCAAGAGGTATTCAATTATCGTAACACAAATGGATTATGAATGAGGTTTCGATCGATCGAACCTTCGAAAAATCGAACGGGTACAAAAAATACATGCTAAGGCATAAAGAAATTTTCACTAAGTCTTTTAGCCGAATAGAGGGAAAAATTATAGCCGTCTTAGAGGCCGAATTGGCCCAACTTAAAGAGCCTAAGGGCCAACATAAAAGAGCCTAAGGGCCGAAACATGTAGAGTTCGAGACCTTACTCTCGCTCAACTCGGACTCAAGAGTCCCATCATCCCGAGCTCACATCAAATCAACTTAAGCTTAGCTCGAGGATTAACAAAAACTTTAAGAGATATTCTGTTATAAGTTCAAAGATCGCCCATTGATCATTAAAAAACCTAAGGGTTTGTTCTATTCAGAATCTAAGCAAATGAAGTTATCAAAATTTTTCACAAAACAAAGACAAAGCATTATTCAATACACGTCGGAAATAAAACAAGAAGAAATGGAATTTCTTATATTCACATAGAGTATTTACAACGCCCACAAAGGGCCTTACAAAAAACAAAACAAAGGAACCTAATCTACTTCGGGGCCACATCCTCGGGAACCACATATTTGGAAGCCACATCCTCAAGAGCTGCATCATCGGGAGCTGCATCTTCGGGAATCTCCTCCTCGGGGACTTCATCCTCATCTCCTCCGCTCCCGGATCCACTAGCAGAATCCTCGTCATCGGAGAGCAAAGCGACAGCCTCTTCCTTCAATGTTTTTGCTTTTTCAATATCAGCTAAGAGGTCAAACCCACGAGCGTGCACCTCCTCGAGAGTTTCTCTCCGGGACTGTCGCTTGGCATGGTCGAGAGCACATGATAACTTAACTTCAGCCGTAATGGAGATTTCGTGTGCCCAAGTGTTAGCAGCTTCAGTGTCATCTCGGTACGAGGACACAAATGCCTCTGCCTCAGATTTGGCCTTCGCAAGCTCAGCGGCTGATTTAGCTTCGAGCTCCTCGATTTTGCGGCTCCAGACCAAGATTTCATCCTTTGCATTTTGAAGTTGGCATTCGATTGAAGTCAGCTATTCTCGAAGTGTATCTTTCTCTAAGGTGAAACGGTCCATGTGTTGCTTCCACCCTAGGGTCTCGGACTCTTTCATCTTGAGCTCTTCTCGAAGCTGCTATACTAGCTCGCCTTTCTGCTGGGCCTGCAAGGTTGAAGTGTTAGTTGCCAAATCAAGTAAATGCATAACAGACCCTCAAAGGCTATATTACCTTTTCAATAAACTCAGTCTGTTCTTAACGAGCATTCGCCAACTCGACTCGGAGATCCCTGACCTCCTTCTCTCTTTGTACATAAAGGTGCTTAAGGACATCCCTCTCTTCCACCGAGTTCTTGAGTTCAGCTTTGTATCGGGCAAGCTCAGCCCAAGATTTGGAAAATGCTTGTCGGTGAAGCGACACAACCTTCACATAAAGAAAAGTAGTTAGACTTAGAAAAATGAGAATTAAACTCGAGTGTAATTATGAAAACAAAAACTTACTTGTTTGAGAAGCCTTTGGGCCTCATAAAAAATAAACGAGGCGTCAGTATCGGGACAATCATTGATCCCCGCAAGGTACTCCCAAATAATATCACTCCCTTTATGGGTTGTTCCCATATCAGGAGTCCTCATGGCCCGGGCATCTCAGAATTGCCCTTCGGAGAACATCGGTCCTGGCGGCGAGTCATCTACATTGATTATCCCAAGTGATTCACTTGGGATATTATCTTCTCTTTAGAGGGCCTTGGAATTAGGCTCTTCGAGCTCGCCCACCAAATATCCCCCGGGACGAGACACACTTTTTCTACCTGATGGCTCGGGGACTTTGCTCGAGCTCCCCTCCGAAATTTTTTCGGTTCAAGATTGAACCACATCAGCTACCATCGGTTCAGGGGCGTTCGAAGCGTCAGTGCTTCCTCTCTTCCGAGCTACCAGCAGGCAGTCGTCATCTCCTCCATCCTCATCCTCATCCTGAAGGTGTTGGGCCGTTCTGAAGATAAGGCCATGGAATTCGAGCCTTGTTTTTCTTTGGCTTCGGGGAACTTGTAGGCGACCCCCTTTTCCTTTTATTTTCCTTGGTGGGCTTTGGGATTTTTTCTTCATCGGGCGGGGGTGGCCGCATAGCAATGGCATCTTCGAGGCATACATAATGATAAAGTGAGTATTTCACTAAGAAACATAAACATGTGAACAAGAGAACTCACCATGGTTTTTAGCTTCCTATCGACCCTTGGCCAAGTTACGCCAACTGTGTTCCACGTATGAAAAAGTGGAGGACAGTTGCCGGACCCAACCTGCGAGGTCCGAGACCGTGCCAGGAAACCAAGAAACAGCTGCACCATCAGAAATGGATTAGATCGAGAAAAAGATGAGATCGAGAAAGAGTAGGGAAAGCAGAATATAAAGTCACCATCGATAAATCTGTACTTACGTTTCATGTTCCACTCCTCGGGGAATGGCATCCTCTTAGCAGGAATCAGATCGGAGGTCCTGATTTGGACAAACCGGCTCATCCATCCTCGGTCCTTGTTCTCATCGATGCTGAAAAGATATTTTGAGGATCGGTGCTGCAGCTTTATGAGACCACCTCAATAAAGGCGAGGGTTGTATAGCCTGATCAGGTGGTCGAGGGTAAAGGGCATCCCCTCAATTTGGCCTGAGAAATACCGGATCAAATTGACAATGCGCCAAAAAGAAGGATAAATTTGGCTAGGTGTCACCTAGTATTGTTGGCAAAAATCAAGAATGACTAGATCTACGGGACCTAACGATGGATCTACGGGACCCAGTGTAAAAGGGTATGTATACACGCTTAAGTATCCTACCTTATGGGTGGTAATGTCCTCTTCGAGGGAGGGGATCACAACATCCTTATTCTCTCAATTGCAATCCTTTTTCACCTGTTCAAGTTCACTTTCAGTTATCAAGAAGATGTATCGACACATGGGCTCACATCGACCTGGTGTCGACACAAGTTTATCAATTTTAAAATCAAAAGTTATCTCGCATGGCCCGGGAATGCACTCCTCGATACGAGGTGGCACCACTGTTCTACCTCTGGTCGACCGTGATGATGAGGAAACTTTTTATTTCTGAGGAACGGTCTTAGATGTTTTAGCCATTGTTGTTGAGAAATTCAAAATAATAGAAGGAGTAGATGCTGTAGCAAGAACAAATTGAGAAAAGGGTGAGCTTAGAGAAGATGAAGAAGCTAGTGAAATTTTAAGAGTGATTTGAGTAGTAAAAAATGTAAAAATTGTGAACTTGGCCTATTTATAAAGGCCTCCTTAACGGTTTGGGGAAGCCAATAGCCGATCGTCAGCCGCCTACAATTAATGACCTTGGGAACTACGCAGAAACGACCTTTCAGTCACTTCAGTCGCTGACATCACGAGATTGACATCATGATTGAGGCATCAGAGGATCGAGAACCAAATCTTTTCTTATCATCTTACTCTAAGAAACGCGGGGACTATCTGTATACGGTCGAAATCAGGTATGCCCGATTTCACAGCCTCGAAAAATCACTTCAAGCCCAAGTTTAGGATGGGTCGAGACTGAGGCCGATGAGCTGAGTCCGAAGTTGATGAACGGAGTCTGAGACCGATGACCGAGTATAGGGTTTAAAGATCGGAGTACGCGGCGAGCATCGAAGCCGAGTATGATTGACACTGAAATAATGCCGTGACGGGTTTGTTACAGAAGGACAAGATTCTCGCCACATTCCCAAGATCATGGCGTAAATTATGGAATAGATTCGTACGACCTAAGTACGAATCCGTACTAGGCGGTTAGATAGCTGTTCCAATAAGATTATTTACTGTAAATAGAAATGTACCTTATTTAGGGTTCCCCTGCTATATAAAGGGGACCCCAATTATTTGTAAACATCATCAATCATTGGCAAATAATATACTCTCTTACTTTTCTACCTATTGTTCATCTGAATCATCTTATTATTATTCTACTGTTCTTATTCATTTACCTCGAGGTCGCCTTTGCTCGAGGACGAGGTCTTTTTACGCAATTAGTTTGACTTGCCTTACTCTTAAATTTATACATTAGATTCCATATTTATTAATTAGTATTGGATTAAATCACATATCTTTGAAATCAAAAATAAGTTTAATTGTTACTCGTATTTTCGAGGTAAACTCATGGGCTAGCCAATTTTCAGACTGGTAATTAAAAAATAGCCAGCATTTGCAAAGTCAATAAAAAATAGTCACTATTTTGCTGAAACACGAAAAGTTCCAGCATAATATGCTGAATTATGAAGCTCCTGCGTATAAACATCCAACGTATTATGTTGGAACTCCGACAAATGGAAAGTTCCAACATAATATGCTGAATTATGGAGCTCATGCGTTTAAACTTCCACCATAATATGTTGGAACTTCAGCATATTATGAAATTCCAGCACATTATGCTGGAATCTTATAAGTAAAAAATTCGTACTCCAGCATATTATGATGGAATTTTTCCGGATTTTAAGGGTATTTTTGTTGAGATTTTATCTTCACATAAAAAATGGCTAAATTTTGATTACTTTTGAAACTGTAGCTATTTTTCAATTACCAGTAGTAAATCGACTATTTATGATTTTTTTCTCAATTAAGCTAGATATGCTAGGAGCTACTTTTGCAAGGAGAAATATTTCTAATAACCTAAGCTACTACTATGGTCAAGACGTTGTGGTGCAAGTGACCCCACTACAATGTAACAACCCTCTTTAGTTAATATATATTAAGTATCTTTCTTGCGGGAAAAAAAAACATACACACAACTTGGGCAGACCAAACAAAGGATTAGGTTTGGGTTGAATTAGAGAAATGTATATTATTAGCTATTCCAAAAATTTAAAATATATATTCGTGTATATATGTATATTATATTCAATAGAATATACATATTTTTTTTACTCCTTTCGGCTAGTCAATGCGATTAATTTCAGCCTACTGACCAGTTTTATATCTTGCCATTGAATTATGTAGGAGTCAGATAAACAACCCATCAAGAGGTTATTGGACTACAATTGAGAAGTTATTTATAAGATATTTGACACATTTAATGGTGTGAGGCATTTCGTGGGAAAATCACATGGATTTGATCCAAGTCGGACAATATCGCAGTATATTAAAAGTATCTTTGGGTCAGTTTCAGGGTCGGCTGATGGGTGAAGCAGCTAAAGCATTTGCTTTAAGCCTCACCTTTTTAGGGGCTCCAGCTTTTACCCACAATTTAGTAAGTTAAATTTGTATTAAGTATGTAGAATGGTTTTTTATAAACATATAAAAAAAGACAATATTTCATTTTGTAATTGATTTATTGTTTCAGTAAAAAGAACTAGTAATTTGGATTTTCCCCTAAGTTCTTTACACGTGAAAATGAATTGTGGAATAGGTTTGACATGAACATTATTGTTTTCTCTTTTTACTTTTCCTCAATTGTAAATGTGTAGATTTTAGAAACTATTTAGAACTTTACATATCAACATATCAAAAATAGACTTCAAAAGAAAATAAATATTATTTGTTTCATAATTTAAGGCCTCCCGTTAAAGTTTGGCTTTAGACCATCAAACTTATTGAGCCGCCCTAGTCAGTTTAGTCTAATAACTGAAATCAGAGCAAATGGTTCGAGTATGAAGATGCAGAGTGATGACCTGGAGCTCGAATTATTGTCTTTGCCTGTCTATGAGCCAATTTACTCTATCTTTATACGTACCTTGGCGCGCAAATACAGAAGAATAGTTAATCTTCAAATAAGTCATGTAGAACTTAATTCAACGGAGGAGATTATGGGTGTGTGAACAAAGTTCTACCTAAAAGGTAAAAAAAACAAGCAATACTCTTAATGGTATATGGTATTTAAAAAAATCATGAGGGCTTAACCCAAAGTAGACACATTATCTTTAATAGCTTGTTTGGTCAAACTTTTAAAATCAGCTTATTTTGAAACAGATATTTTTCAAAAGTACTTTTCGTTAGAAACAGTTTGTGTTTAGTTAATTAATTTGAAAATACTTTTGAGCAACAATTAATGTTTGGCCAAACTTTTAAAAAGTACTTCTAAGTGTATTTTTCTCAAAAGTACTTTTCAAAAAAAAAATACTTTTGGGAAGAATTTACTTTTTTCTGCTTCTAAAAAACTGTTTTTGCTTCTACTCAAAATCACTCATGTCCTAAGCATGAACAAACAACTTAATTTTGAGAAAAAAAATACTTTTGACCAAAAAGAAGTTTGGCCAAACAGACTATAAGTCAGTATAGACCAACAATATATACAATGCTATGAACGAAAAGTAGTGGGACTTTGACTCAAGTACTATAATGCAACAAAGAGACATTTTTGGAAAAGTCAAAGGCATCTCCTACAGTAATTCAAGGACAATAATGCAAGACCTACAGTAATTCAAGGACAATAATGCAAGACATATCCTGAAAACTTCACGTGAACAAAAGAAAAGAAAGATTCTTCAAGCAAAATGAAGTCTGGAAGTGAAGTCCTCGATTTAATCACAAAATGTTATTACAAATTTTTAACCCCCCTCCAATTTGGTATTAGAGCAAGAAGGTTTTTGGACTACACCTTTATGATACAACACAGTTTTACTAGATATATAAGTTTTCACAACCAAGTAATATATCTTACTTTGGAAATTATTAAAAACATAAATTTTTTTTAGAGCAACACTAAAAGGATATTTGAATAACTCAGAAGAAGTTGAATTAAATGACAATTTTTTTAAAAATTAGCTCATTTGGGAAATACAGAGATCTAATAGAGAAATAGCACAAAGAGAAATTATTTTAGATCTATCAAAAGTGAGATAAAACACATCTCGTTAGGATAAATCATATTAAAACACAATACTGCCAATAGTAATCACACACGAGCGATAGACGCGATCGACGACAATAGAATCTCCCACAGGTGTGGATACATATACAGGAGTTCTCAAAGAATCACTAGACACAACCAGATATGAAGCAAAATAGGATGACACGAAGGAATAAGTAGATCTCTGATCAAATAGAACTGAAGCATATCTATCACAAACTGGAACAATACATGTGATAACGGCGTCAGATGACTCGACCTCAAGCCTAGCTGTGATAGCATAACATCGGGGCTGGGCCCCACCACTCTGAACTATGTCTCTAGGACGACCTCTAGCTGGCTGGCCTCCACCTTTAATGGTCTGACTTCCACCTCTAGCTGCCTGACCCCTGCCTCTAGCTGGCTGATCGGGTGGTGGAGCAACCGGTTCCAGAACCATGGTACGAGAACTCTGCTGTGCCATGGCGCCCAACAATCTCAGACAGAACCTCCTGATGTGACCAGTACCTCCGCACTCAAAACACACATCTTGCTGATGTGGCTGCTGAAGCTGACCCGAACGGGCCTGATATCCACAGTCGTAGCTCTTAATCGGAGGCGTACTAATAGGAACCGATGGTTCACTATAGGCTGGCTGCCCATAATGAGATACATAAGGACCGCGACTCTCCGAAGCATTGTGAGATTCCTGAAGCACTAACTGAAATGGCCTGGGAGGATGGCCTCTACCAAAATTACCCCGGCCTCCAGATGAGGCACCACTGAAACTACCGGAATGACGAGGCCTCTTATCATACACCGGGCCCCTCTCCTAAGCACGAACTATCTTGATCCGTCTGGCAATATCTATGGCCCTCTAAAAAGTAATATATTCTCTGGTCTCCTTGGCCATCTATAACCTGATAGTGAAAGTGATCCCATAAATGAATCTCCTCTCTCTCTCTCCCTCTCAGTGGTAAGCACGATAATGGCATGGCGAACTAGGACCACAAATTGAGTCTTGTACTAGGTAACAATCGTACTCCCCCTATTGAAGACGCTCAAACTGCCTATGGTAATCCTCTGTCAGAGTGACAGGGATGAACTTCTCTAGAAATAGCTGTGAAAACTGATCCCAGGTAAGTGCAGGCAAACCAACTGGTTTAGTCAACATATAATCTTTCCACCATCTTTTGGCAGAACCTGTCATTTGAAACATTACAAAATTGACCACATTGGTCTCAACTATACCCATGTTCTGCAGCACCTCGTGGCAGCAGTCTAAATAATCTTGTGGGTCCTCAGAAGGTGTAATACTGAAATGAACAGGATAGAGCTTGGTAAACTTATCCAACCTCAACAAAGCCTCATAAGACATAGGGGTCCTATCACCGGCATGTGCTGCAATAACCGGTTGAACCACTCCAACTGGCAGGGTAGTTGGAGTCTGATATTGGGGAACCACCTGCTCCGGTGTGTGAGTAGCGGGAGTTTGTGCTCCTCCCCCAGCCCGAGAGATGGTTGGTGCCACCGGGAATGTAACGGTCTAGGCCGCACTCTCCAAAAGTCCCACCAAAATGACTAAAGTGTCTTGAAGCACTAGAGTGGCTATGAACCCCTCCGGGACCTGAGTTGGTCCGACAGGTACAATCTAAGCTAGAACCTCCTTCTCATGATCAATTTGAGGCTCCACTACGAGTGCTGCTACTCGATCTCTAGGCTGAGCTCGCCTCTGCCTCTGCCTCTTCCTCGGCCTCAGCCACGACCTCGACCTCTGCCCCTGGTAGTGCTTCCATAGGGGGTTCTGGCTCCTGCCCGGATATAGATGCAGTGCGTGTTCAATCATCAATGATAGAATAAAATCGCACGATAGAGAAAGAAAGAAGTGAAATTTTTCCTAAACTCCACAGCCTTTGGAAGATAAGTACAGACGTGTCAATACTGATCCTCTAGGCTCTACTAAGCTTGTTCATATCTTGTGAGACCTAGGCAACCTAGTGCTCTGATACCAACTTGTCATGACCCGGAATTCCTACCCTCGGGACCGTGATGATGCCTAACATTTCACTTGCTAGGAAAGCCAATGTTAGAATAGTCTATAGCCATTTTTAATAATTCAAATAAAATAATAACCAAGAAACTAAATAAGCTGAAATTGAGAGAGAAAACCATAACAACATCGGTATCTATATACAATCCCAGAACTAGTGTCACAAATACACTAGCGACTAGAATAATACAAACAATGTTCTAAATGAAAGTATAACTGTCTGAAATAAAATAAACAGCTAGAATAAGGTAAAAGAGGACTTTAGGGTTGCGAACGCTGAGCAGCTGTACTTAAAGTCTCTGTCAGGCAATCAATCCGAGCAATCTACTGGCCGCTGCTAGGACCGACTCGAAAATCTGCACAAGAAGTACAGAGTGTAGTATGAGTATAACCGACCCCATGTACTTTGTAAATTCCAAGCCTAACCTCGATGAAGTAGTGATGAGGCTAACGCGGGTCACTTACAATAATATGTACACAATATAATAGTAATAATAAGAAAGGAACACATGAAAATAAGGAAGTTAACTTATGAAAATAAACTCAATCCTTGAAATTAGTAAATTCAAACACATCAGTCCTAAGAATCTCGTATGAAAACACTGAAAGTTAACACAATGCAACAATGCATACAAAACACAAATCGAATGCGACGCGCAATCCGATCCCACTGTACTAACACAATCCTCCCTTATTTCGCCATATCAAAAATTACATATGAAATCCATTGTGGCGTGCAACCCGATCCCACCATATCAATATCAATCCTCACTTATTTCACCTGTTGCGACGTGCAACCCGATCTATAAATAAAATCAATAAATATAATCAATTCAATAGCTCAATTCACAAGAATCTCTACAATTAAGGAATATGGAAGCAAATCCATAAAGGAACCTCTACCAAATTAAGGAATGCTACAATAATACAAAGCAACAAGACAAGCCAAATATATGACCATTAAAGTATACAAGTAAGACGACTAAGGCAAGTAGCAATTAATCATGGAAACATGGAAGAAATGAATATTTTAATATGAGAGTAATAAGTGACAAGTAGTAAGTTAAGGCATAGGAAGCAATTAAAGCATGTAACAATTAAGAAATGGAATAATTAATGTAATACAGGCAAGCATGAAAATAATTATTTTGACGACATATATACACTCTGTAAGCACGTGATTTTTTCCCTATGTGAGAATTACTCCCAAAAATTCAAAATAAAACAATTTTCCTTTGTGTGCAATTTTGAGAATTTTCGTGGCATTTTTGATAATTATTAGTATTTGTCCATGCATGTTTATTTGTTAAATTAATAAAAAATACAAAAATATATCGCATTTGCATTTAGGATTTAATTCTACAATTAGGAGCAATTAGTTTTGTTTTACAAGAACAAAAAAATCATAAAAATAATGTACGTTGCATTTTTAGCATTTAATGTTCAAATTGTGTGATTTTATCGTAATTGCTATTTAATTGTGTGTTAATTATTATTAATAATTAATTAACACTTTTATAAATTAATTTAGTTCTATAGGATAATTTAGGATTTTTAGAATATAGTTTTAGTTTAAGAAAAAATAAAAGAAGAAAAAAGAAGCAATAAAAGAAGAAGAAAATCGGATTGGGCCTTTTCTTCAATTCTAAACTACAAGCCCAAAACCAAAAAACCCCTTATCCAACCCAAAAAAACCCCACCGGGTCGACCCGACCCGGTCCGCCCCATAACCCCAAACAAACACCCCCCCCATCTGACCACACGACCCCCCTCACTCTTTCTCTCATTTTTGTTTCATTTGCTACTC